TCGGTCGTGGGGCTTGAACTCTGGGCCTGGGCACTGTCCTTCAGCTCTTCAGCTCAAGGCGAGCGCTCTACCACTTGAGCCACAGCGCCACTTCCTGATTCTTTTCTCTTGAGATAGGGTTTTACGATATTTCCCAGACTAGTTTGGACTCATGGACTAAAGCAATCAAGCCTTAGCCTCCTGAGTAGCTGGAACTACAGGCATATGCACCTGTGCCCAGCTAGCAACTTTTTCTTGTACTAAGGTTTGAACTCAACTCAGAGACTCATGCTTGCTAAGCAAGTGCTGGACCACTGAACCACATCTCCAACCCTTTTTGTTCTGGTTAATTTGTTTGGAGCCTGTATCTGGACAACAGCTTCCAGCTGTCTTTGGGATGACAGGTACTGCAACCACAACTACCTCCCTCTGCTGAGATCCAGTCCTGTGTATGCTTAGGCTAGCTTAGACCCTTCATCTTCCTGATTCCAGATTCCTGAGAGGCTGACGTGACAGGTGTATGCCATGTTGCTCAGTGACTGTAATATTTTTTTTTTGTCAGTTGTGGGGCTTGAACTTAGGATCTGGGCACTGTCCTTGAGCTTTTTCACTCAAGGCTAGTGCTCTATTACTTTGAGCCACCGCTCCACTTCCAGTTTTCTGGTGGTTAATTGGAGATAAGAGTCTCATAGACTTTCCTGCCTGGGCTGGCTTTGAATATGATCTTCATATCTCAGCCTCCTAGTTACTTATGAGGATTACAGGCATGAGTCACTGGCACCTGGCAAGAATCTGCTTTTCTAAGAAGCTTGGGAAGGTCTACTGCTGGGAGACCTGGCCATGCATAGTAAGTCTAGAGAACCCAATCCCCTGTCCAGTACCTCCAAACCACACACTTCCATAGACCCCCACTTCCCACCGGGATGCCTCAGACAGACAGACAGCAGGGGAACTTGCCTTAAACTTATTGAGCAGCAGCTTCAGGACCTGCGGGGTGGTCATGGTGCTGTTGATGCGGACGTTGGTGACGGAGCCATAGGCTGGCGTGAACACTGAAGTCTGTCAATAGAGGGGGTGCTCAGAATAGGAGTGGGGGAACAAGGCGAGAGCACTAAAACCCAGGTGGTACAGGGCACACTGACAGCAGAGCGCAAAACGTGCTCCCTAGGAGCCTCCTGGCAACGTGGAGAACTTCCGCCTGTCTTCAAAGCATCTCTGGAGGCCACCTAAGTCAGTCCCCCAAACCCTTCTGGGTGTGTGTGTGTGGTGGGGGTCAGGTGAGGTCTGTTGAGGCAGGGTTGGGAGAGAGAATCCCACTTCTTCTCCAAGCAAAGTGCTCATAAAGCCACATCCCGGGGACTTGGGCCACAAGAGGCCTCTGACCATGCTCCACTGGCTTCTAACATGTAGGACTTGAACCAAGAAGCCAGAGGAAAGGAGGGGCCATCCAACTTGGGGTGGAGTGGAGTGGGCAGCGCAGAGCTCTGATGCCAGACAGCTCTTAACTAGGGACAGTCAGAATAGACACTGATTCTGACTCAGAAGACACGGGGTCAGAGAGAGACGGTACCATGCAGATTGACCTAGGTGGGACTGGATTGGGGCATTTATTGACCACATATTTATGGGGTTTTCAAGGCTACTGCTGGGTGCTGATTTATACCCCCCTCTCCCCCCTCCCCACAAGTCATCCACTGCCTTGGGAGGGAAGGAACTTCCTGACTTGAGATCTCTGATCCCTCAGAAAGCAAGAAGAACCTGTGGCCTGCCCACAGCCCCATCATTGAACAGCACATGGCTTATCAGGCTTATCAAGTGTCCCACTAGGAACCAGGAGACCCTGGTCGGAGATGACAAGATGCCCACCAAGGCATGTCACCTCACTTCCCCCCCCTCCCTCCCCAGGCTGGCCCCTTCCCTTTCCTCTCCATCCCACTCTACCTTGTGGTTATAGAAGTGGCCATTGATGGAGAAGCGGTGGCGTCTAATTCGTCTCTGGTCACTGGGCGTCCTCACGTTGCCACGGCGACGCACTCCCACATCACTGCGCGTGCGCATCAGCTGCGGCGTGTCTTCCTGCACAGGCTTCAGGCCCCTAGAGTCTGGGGAAGTAGTGAAGGTTTGGAAGAGTTAATACAGCTACAGTACGTAGAACAGTGCCTGGCACAGGACCAGCATGACCTAAAGACCTTGGTAGGCCATGGAGGAGTTCGAGGAGATGAAGCTGAGTGAAATGAACTGGTCCTCCAAAAGACAAGGACTATGTGAATCCACTCCTACGAGGGACTCAGAATCATCGCTGTTACCACTCAAGGCTGGTCCTCTATTACTTGAGTTACACCTATACACACACACATATACTCACCCACACATATATAATGTTGCAGTGGCTGAGGATTGAATCCAAGGCCTTGTGCAGGAGAGGCAGGTGTTCTATCACTAAACTACAACCCTTCATTTCAGTTTTATAAGATGAAATAAGTTTTGGAAATGGTTGTGATTGCACAATATTATGAATGTATTTAATGCCACTGAATTGTACACTTTGAAACAGGAAGGCTGAGATCTAAGGGCCACAGTTCAAAGATAGCCTGGGCAGAAAAGTCTGTGAAACTAGCTCCAGTTAACCACCAAAAATCTAGAACTGGAGGTATGGCTCAAGTAGTAGAGCACCAACCTTCAGTGAAAAAGAAAAAGGTAACAAGTACTTCCCAGACCCTGATTTCAAGCCCCAGTACTGGCACACACACATACACACAATGAAGAAGTTCTTTATGTATTTATGTGCTGTAATCCCAGAACATGTTGCTAAAACATGTAGCTTGTATAAAGAGGGGAAAAGAAGAAATTTCATCCAGCTCCAAAGGAAATGTGAGTGAGCATTGTTCATATTTGCACAGACTGACTGGGGAGGGATGTGCTCTGCTGGCTTCTAGAGAGGAAAGTTCAACCAGTAAGTAGATAAGGTAAGAGTTTTTTTAAATTTTTATTTCTAGCTGGTTGTAGGACTTGAACTTGGGGCTATTTCTGAGCTCTTTTTGCTCAACACTAGTGCACCACTTCTGGTTTTCTGGTGGAGATAAGAATCTCCAGGCTGAAAGGGGGGGAGGAGAAGGGTTGGGATTGGGGGGGAGGGGGGAGGCTGGGAAGGGATGTGAAGGGTAAACCAAAGGAGGAGGCTGCAATGCTTGGTAAGAAATGTACGCATTATCCTGCCCATGTAATTGTAACCCCTCTGTACAGTATGTTCACAAATAAAAAATAAATAAATAAATAAAATACAAAAAAAAGAATCTCCAGACTGACTTTGAGCCAGGATCTCAGCCTCCTGAGTAGCTAGGATGATAGGTGTGAGTCACCAACTGGAGGTAAGAGATTTTAATGGTCTCCTGTTAATACTTTCCCAATCCTGAAGCAAGAGAGTTTGAGATATTTTTGAGCAAACCAAGTTTATAGCAGGTGTCCCCCAGTGACACGTACCCCGAGTCTCCTCTCCCTGTGCCCTCCTGTACCTGTGGGGCTTGGTGTCTGGTCGCTCTCAGGTGCATCCACCTCGGAGATCTGAATGTTGGGCATGGTGAGGGGCTTCAGAATGGTGCTGTGGGTAGAAAACAAGCAAAAGGAAACCTGGTTTAGTCTCTGCAAAGACATCCTTTCACTCCCCCACTGCATCCTGCAAGAAGAAGCTTAGTTAGTGCCAGACCAGGTACCAGCGCACATCAGGCCATGAAGGATGCAGGAAGACGATGCTGAGCACCTCAGGAGGTGGTCCCCACTCCCAGGCTGGGCACTGGGTGGAGAACAGGGAATTGAGAAGAAAGATGTTCTTTCTTAGCATCTGGAGCTGTGCAAACATCCAGTTTGTAAGCCTCGCTAGGAGAACTCCTCAGGACTAAGCGTGTGTATTACCCACACGGAATTTGTAAGCATGTGTAGGGTTTGTGGCTTATTTGAAACTCCTGGTTAACAGTCATTTGTTTCTTGGAAGAGGATTCCAGTCTGAATTCATTTCTGTGAGAGGAATAAATCAGAAACTGCTTCTGGCATCTACAAGAAATGAAGGATAATCGATTGGCCACTCTGAGGGTCAGGGAAACCTTGGAACTGCTAACAGTATCCACAGTATTGCAAGGATAGAGTCCCTAGTCACATTGGAGAAAGGGCCACAGGAAGCAATGGCCAGGAAGGAGAATCACATTTGATTACAAAGGACTGGACTTTGTGAGAAAGGTTTGGGCTTCATGAGCCCAGGACAGGCCTCGTAATCCAGGGGTGATGATTTTAAGGGAAGATAAAATTGAAAAAATCTCAATTTCTGTGTGTTTGTGTGCATGCACATGTGCGTGTGTGCCAGTACTGGGGTTTGAACTCAGGGCCTGGGCACTGCCCCTTAGCTTCTTTGTTTAAGTCTGGTGCTCTACAAGTTGAGTTACACTCCCACTTTGGGCATTTGGGTGGTTAATTGGACATAAGTCTCATAGATTTTTCGGCCTGCACTTCCAACTTTGAACTGCAATGCTCAGATTTCAGCCTCCTGTGTAGCTAGGGCATGAGCCATTGGTGCCTACAAGAATATCTGTTGTACTATAACTCGCTGCCTTAAGAACCCCAGAATGCATCCTCTCAAGATCTGTGATGACTTCTTAGTACCCAAGGCAGCCATATTCCACTCTCTGGTCCAGTGCCCTCTGGCATCGGCATTTTTCTGAACACAGTGATACAAGCACTCAGGTTTCTCTGGCATCCAGGACACATTCCTGAAAACTCTCGACTTATTTGTAGACTTCAAGAGCCAATCAAGACCAGCTTGATGGCACAGACAAATGGGAATAAACAAGTGCTCAGATTGAAGGGCCCCTCAGCAGCCCAGCCCAAGGCCCCATGATCAAATGGAATTTTTAAAGTCCTCTCACTTAGGAAATCGAATGTAACGATGGAGTTTTCAGGTTCAAGCAGGGTTTGCCCATTGGAAATCAAGCATGGTGAAAATGCTTAAAGCTATAAAGTTAGGAGTTGGCCAAAAAAGGTTACCCAATCAGATGGGCCACGACTTTTCTCCATAAATTCTTTTTTATTGTTGTTGTTGGTTATGGGACTTGAACTCAGAGCCTGAGCTGTCCCCGAGCTCTTTTGCTCAAGGCTAGCACTATACCACTTTGAGCCACTGTGCCACTTCCAGTTTTTTGGTGATTCATTGGAGATCAGAATCTCATGGACTTCCATCTAGGCTGGCTTTAAAGCATAATCCTCACAAATCTCAGCCTCCTGAGTAGCTACAATTACTAGCATGAGGCACCAGTGTCCAGTCCTTCATAAATTCTTTGCAAAGGAACCCAGATAAGCCCCAGGGTCATTCTCTCAAATGTAGGGAAAGATAGATTTGGCAACGGAATTTAACAAAATGTTCCGTGTGGCCAACAGAAATGGCCTAACCCTTTTTTAAACTAAAGAACACATCACTGTGGTTTTGGCCAAGCAGGGGCCAGCATACTCCACCCAAGCTTGGGCCTGAATGCAGCCAACATCAGCAAGTTTTGAGAGGGAACAAAGCCAGTCACTTGATCCTAAAAGTCCATGTCCAGGATGGGTGTGGTAGCTCAAGCCTGTAATATTAGCTACTTAGGAGGTGAAGATCAGGGTACTGCTGTTCCAGGCTAGTCGACATAGAAAAGTTGTGAGACTCCATCTCAACCAATGGCTGAGTGCAGTAATGTGCACCTGTTTTCTCAGCTACGGGGAAGCACAGTGGCTGGGTGCACTGGTGCACTTGAATCATCCCCAGTGACCCAGGGAAGCACGAGTAGGAGGAACACAGTCCAGGTTGGCCCAGGCAGAAAATAAGATCCTATCTCCAAAATAAACAACCCAAAGAGAGGCAGGAAAGCCAAGCACTAGTGACTCACACCTATGGAATCCTAGCTACTCAGAAGGCTGAAATCTGAGAATCATGGTTTGAAGCCAACCCAAGCAGAAAATGTCTAATTAAATACACAAAAGCTGCAAATGGAGCTGTAAGTGGCTTAAGTGGTAGAGCACTAGCTTTGAGCAAAAAAAGCTAAGGGAAAGAACTCAGGCCTTGAGTTCACGCCCTAGTACTGGCACCAAAAATGAAGCAGGGACTAGAATCATGGCTCAAGTGGTAGAATACCTGCCTAGAAAGCAAACAGCCCTGAGTTTAATGCCTAGTGCAAGAAAAAGAAAACCAAGAAGAAACAAAGAAAATCCCAAAGTCCCTAAAACACACACACACACACACACACAGAGCACACCTTATTAGATGCATGCATTTGGTTATTTGTTTTGTTACAGGAAAACAGACTGAAGAGAAACCAAATGTCACTCAGAGAAGTAGGAGAATTCAGTTTTATTTATGCCATCAAGCCTTCCTGTCAGGAGTACAATCCTCTTATCAGGTAGAGCATGGATGTTTTGAGTTTTGGTTTACCCCAGGGGTGACAGTTTCTCAAAAACAACTTGTAAGCTGGTTCTGGCAAGATTACATTGAGCTAGTTCTGATCATGGCAGGGTTGAGCTAGTTCTGATGTAGCCATGAGATGGATTGAGGAGGAGCAGACACAATCTCCACATGCCTCCCAGTGGGGACCAGAGGAGGGGACTTCCCAGACTGCAGGTGGCGAACAGCCCATGGCTGACCTCTAAGGGGTGTCTCAGATGAAGAAATGTTCCTTTGACCTTAGAGATTCTCCCCAAGAGTGCCAGTGTCAGGTCAGAAGATTCAAGCTCTCTCAGTGTCCTATGTGGTCCTGGGGAGGGGTGAGAGGGGAGAGCCTGCAGGCTTGGCCTAGCAAGCCACTAGCAACACAACCAGAGACTGGAATTTTCCACAAGGGAGAACACACTATTGTCCTTGACAACCCTCCCCCTCAGCACCTCCCCTCCTCCCTCTCCTCTCCCTCCTCCATCCATCCATAATTGTGCAGAAAGGTTGAGATCCAATTACTCCATTGCTGGCCCCTTGCTCCTCATCACAAGGCAAAGCAAGTGGGCAAAGGAGCCAGGATCAAGCTGGCTGGAAGCCCATGGCATTTACCACTTGAGAACATACAGAAGCCCCCAAATACTTTGGTCCCCCCTTATCCCACCTCTCCTGACTCACCCCTGAGCCCCCAGGTTGCAGCCAGAGTGCCAGGAGGAAGAGGATGGAGGGGGGCGGATGCGTTCGTTGTCATCCTGCATCTGTAGACGGATGGGACGGCGCAGCCCCCAGGAGATGTTCAGCAGCCCCTCCACAATGAACTCATCTTCTTCCTGCCATGAAGCAATCCATCTGATGAACCCAGAAAAGCCCTTGCTAAAGCCAGCACCACACTGGGTACAAAAGATGACATCCTCAGCCAGACACTGGGGGCTCACATTTGTAATCCTAGTACTCAGGAAGCTGAGATCTGAGGATCATGGTTTGAAACCAGCCAGAGCAAGACTCTTATCTCCAATAAACTACCAAAAAAAGGCAAAAGTGGAGCTGTGGCTCAAGTGGTAGAGCCCTAGCCTTGAGCAAAATTGCTCAGGGACAGTGCCCAAGCTCAAAGTTCAAGCCCCAGGACAACACGTGTGCACACACACACACACACACACACACACACACAGATGACATCCTTCATGTGTTCAAGCTGAAAGTACAGGGATTATAGTCACAGGATGTGAATGACATTCACATATGCCCTAGCCCCAAGGCATACTCTGCTAAAAATTTCCCTGATACCTGGCACCGGTGGCTCATGCCTATAATCCTAGCTACTCAGGAGGTTAAGATCTGATGATCAGGGTTTGAAGCAAGCCCAAAGAGTTAAGTCCATGACACTCCAGTTGCCAGTTAACCACCAGAAAACTGGAAGTGATGCTGTGGCTCTAAGTGGTAGAGTTCTAGCTTTGAGCAAAAAAGCTCAGGGACAACATCCAGGCCCTGAGTTCAAGTCCCATGACTGACAAAAAAAAAAAAAAGCTCCCTGACATGAAGAAGTTGACCTTAAAAGTCAACACAAAGGGGCTGGGAAGGTGGCTCAGTGGTAGAGTGCTTGCCTTGCGTGCCTGAGGCCCTGGGTTCAATTCCTTAGCACCACATAAGCAAAAAAAAAAAAAAGTCAACACAAAGGCAGCTATGAAGAATTTGGGAGTGTAGCTCAGTTAGTGGTAGTACACTTACCCCCTATGAACAGAGCTGTGGGTTTGATCCCCAGCACCACAAAACAAGATGGTTGCTATAAAATTCAAGCATGCATGTACAATTTATCAAGTCTTTCTTGTTGTTTTAATACTGAGTACTTAAAAAAAAAAGTCAGAAGATAGCTGGTCAAGGTGGCTCATACCTATAACCCTAGGTACTCTAGGGAGGTGGAGATTTGGAGGATTGTGATTTGAGGCCAGCCCAGGCCAAAAAACCTGACTCCCATCTCAACCAATAAAAAAAATTGAGTATGGGGACATCCACTGTCATCCCAGCTATATGGAAAGCATAAATAAGAGAAGCTTAAATGAGATGATCATAATCCATGCCAGCACTGGGTAAAAGGACTTTTAGACTGTATCAGAAAAATAAAACAATAAAACTGAAACAAAAGAAAAGACTGGAGCCGGGCGCTGGTGGCTCACACCTGTAATCCTGGCTACTCAGGAGGCTGAGATCTGAGGATCGCGGTTAAAAGCCAGCCGGGCAGGAGAGACTGTGAGACTCCTATCTCCAATAAACCACCAGAAAACCGGAAGTGGCGCTGTAGCTCAAGTGGTAGAGCGCTCGCCTTGAGCTGAAGAGCTGAGGGACAGCGCCCAGGCCCAGAGTTCAAGCCCCACGACCGACAAAAAAAAAAGAAAAGACTGGAGTATGGTTCAAATGGTAGAGCCCTTGCCTAAATGTACAAGGCCCTGAGTTCAGAACCCCAGTTCTGTCAAAATAATAATAACAATCCAGAATACCTTACTAGCCATACTAATTGAATCAGGAATTGGATCTTTGCATTGGCTACTTACCCCTCCCTTGCTCTGGAAAATAATATGTCATTAGCTATACTGGGTGAAGGGAATTTAAAGCAATATTTCAAGTTTATTTGCAGAACAAACACCACCTCCTCCAACAGACGAACTGTTGCCTTAAAAGGATGTCAAGTGGTTATGATCTGGGAGAGGCAGTGTTAATCAAATTTCTTAGCAGAACTTCCCAGCGTCTGTAAGAAGGTGATATGCTATATTATGACTCCAAGAAGAGCCTAAATCCTGCGGGATTCCCAGATTTGTACTCAAAGGTTGTTGACTAAACAAGAAGAGAAATGTGAAGCTCGCCTCGGGACGTGGCTACGTCCTAGCGCAGAGATGTGGATGACGCTTCTGGCCCTTCCACAGTAGAGCACTCTCACGAGTGACTCCACAGGACCCACTCAGGAGAGCTACTTTATGGATCACAGTCTTGTTCCTTCCCCGTCACTAATGATTACAAGTTTTGAGGACAATGTCTAAAAGGGCCAGCTTTCTTTCTTCCAGATCTCTGGACCCATGTTTATGGACAGGCCTCAGAGGTATGAGACTTGGCCATAGTCACCACTTTAGGACAAGCCTCCCTCCTCCCCCACCCCTGGGGTAAAATGATATCTTCCCCATGAGCAACCAACCTGGACCAAAGGCATATATCCCTGGGAGCAGGGAGCAAAAGGAAGGGCATTTGGGGATTCTGGGGAAAAGGCTTGGTGAAAGCCCTTCCAGAGGCCAGGCCTGGCATCAGTACACATTGTGTGATTGCAGGGTAGACTTAACCCACAATAAGACTTGGCCTAAGTGGAGAGCTTACATTTTGAGGTTCACAGCCTAGCCCACAGCATCCCCTCTACCATCTTCAAACAGTCTGCCTTTGCAGCTGAAATTCCACCACCATCTGCTATCTCTTCCTGTGGATTCAATTGCCACGGAAAATTGATAACCTGAAAATGTGTTTGAGAGGAGGTATTCCTGAGGCCTTCTTATCAGTCAAGAACACTTGAGTATAAATTACTCCACCACTATCTATCTGATCCACTGGCTCTCCAGAAACAGATACAGGAAGGATAAGCTCAGTGTCAGGATAGGGACAGGGAAAAGCCAGAAGGATAGCAGGGAGCATTTTGAAAAAAAGCAGTCAGGGCCAGAGTTAGGGAGAAGAGCTTCACGTTATCCCAGAGTTTGTGTAAGGCCGTTACGACAGTGACAAAACATGGGTCCAGATGAGTGCAAAACAGTCACTGACCAACTAGAGGACAGCTGCTAGGGCATGCAGAGAGTCCCTTCATGGACATCTTCTTCTCCCCCTGGACATGCCCCTGTGAGGCTCTGCTGCCCAGTTACACTCCCACAGCAGAGAACAGAAATTCATCTTTTCCAGAACAAAACCAAGCCCACACCCAGGGACTCCCCCTGGAGTCTTACGTGAGGCTGTTTGCTATAGCAAAAAGAGTCAGGGACTGTGGGAAGCTAAGACACAAGGACTGGAAGGCTCCTGCCCTCTAGGGACAGCCCAGTCTACCCTGGGGGGGGGGGGTCACAGCACCTCTCGGTGTCGGAGCTGCAGGTTCTGGCCTTCGTAGTACAAGTTGTAGGTCTTCAGATGCAGGAGAAGTTCATTCCTGTCAGAAAGAAGACAACATTCTTAGTGGAGGTCATACAGCTCCCCATTTCTCACTGCCAGCCTGCCCTTGGGCAGGTGTATCCATCCAGGTGTGTGCACATACAAAGTTCCATCAAAACCATCTCATCACTGTCTTCCCCCACCAGCTGGGTACCACTGGCTCACGCCTGTAATCCTTGCTACTCAGGAAAAGTTGCTCTAAGGATCACAGTGCAAAGCCAGCTCCAGCTGAAACATTTGTGAGAGTCTTTATCTCTTAACTGTCAAAATGCCAGAGTGGAGCTGTGGCTCAATTGGTAGAGGGCCAGCCTTGAATGGAAAAAACTAAGGGACAGTGCCCAGGCCCTAAAGTTCAAGTCCCAGGACTGGCAGATGGGGAGGGGGAAGGAAGAGGGGAGAGAGGAAGAGAGAGAGAGGAGGGGAAGGAGAGGAAGAGGGAGAGGGAGAAAGAAGAGAGGCAGAAGACAGCTCAAACTGGAGAGTACTTGCCTAGCAAGCACAAGACCTGAGTTCAATCCCTAGTACTGTTAAAAAAAAAAAAAAAGCTAGACAGCAAAGAGGACATATTGTACCATACTTTTTTTTTTTTTTTTTGCCAGTCCTGGGGCTTGAACTCAGGGCCTGGGCACTGTCCCTGAGCTTCTTTTGCTCAAGGCTAGCACTCTACCTCTTTGAGCCACAGCACCACTTCTGGCCTTTTCTGTGTATGTGGTACTGAGGAATCAAACCCAGAGCTTCATGCATGCTAGGCAAGCACTCTACCACTAAGCCACCTTCCCAGCCTGAAGAGAATATATTGTACAATGCCTTTTGTATAAACTTTGTAACAGGCACAAGGATTCAGAAAATGGGTCATCTAAGGAGAAGTGAGCAGGAGAGGGCTTGGGCCCTGGCACTGTTCTATTCTTGATAGAAGGGCTTTCCAAGTATCTAAAAGTGCATGCCGCTGTACTTCTTGGGGGGTGCAGGAACTTGAAGATGCTGCCAGCCGTGTGCTTTCACTTGGTCCCAGGTAGGGGGTGACAGAGTTCAGTCCTTCAAACCACATGAGAAGTCAAAAAAAAAAATCCACTGGAATTTCCCAGAAACACAGGACAAGCTAAACCTACATGAAGGAGTCAACTGTACACAGCTGGAATGAATTAGCAAAGAATGTGACTGCAAATGACTTAAAACTGAAGATGAGCATGCTGCAGAAACCATGGTGTGAAAGTCCTGGCTGGTGGAGTCCCTGGGGAAGGACGAAAGGATGAGAATGTTCTGAATCTCATACAGCCCCCATCTGTATCTGCAGGTGTGTCGACACACAATTTATAGTCTCAGATAAACTAAACATAGGGGGTTTTGGTTTTGTTTTGTGGGGGTTTTGTTGTTGTTGTTTACTTGTGTTTTGTGGTTGTTTAAGAAGGGGAACAGCCAATATGTAAAATTCCTGTGCTGGACATAAAAATATATTCTCAAACTTACAATGGAAAAAACGTTGACGGGGGAATGGAGGTAGGGTGCTTGCCTATGAAGCCCTGGCTCTCTAATATAACAGGCAGGAGGAATCAATTCTGGCTCAATTCTGTCACATTAGCAAAAAAAAAATAAAGCAAAACTCTGAGTGGAGGCATGAATGCACAGAAAGCAATGAACCTCTTCCATTCAGAAGGCATCTATGCCCAATTTTTTAATTTTAATTTTTACTTTTTTGTTGTTGTTGTTGGGCCTAGGGCTTGAACTCTGGGCTGGGACACTGTCCCTGAGCTCTTCAGCTCAAGGCAAGCACTCTACCACTTGAGCCACAGCACCACTACTAGTTTTCTGGTGGTTAACTGGAAATAAGAGTCTCACGGACTTTGCTGTCTGGGTTGGCTTTGAACCATGGTGATTCTCAGATCTCAGCCTCCTGAGAAGCTAGGATTTACAGGCATGAGCTATCAGCACCCAGCTCTAAGCCCAATTTTAGCAAGAACCAGCCCCAGGAAACACTACTGCAGCCAAGACACACACCCTTCCCTTCCCCATGACATAGTAATCAGTGTTTTAATCCATTCAGGCTGTTGGCATGGGGGGGAGGGACAAAAACAAACACCACCATAGACTGAAGAGTTTATAAACAACCAGAATTCACTTTTCACAATTCTTGAGTCTGGGAAGTACAAGGTCAAGGTGCTTCAGACTTGGTATCTGGTGGGAGCCAATTCCTCACAGGTCGCACCTTCTCCCTGCATCCCTCAAGCAGCTCCCTCAGGCCTCTTTGCAAAGGGCACTAACCCCACTGGCAAGGACTCCATCCCCATGATCTAATCACCCCTCTAAGGCCCACCCTCTTAAGACCATCACCTTCAGAGTTCGATTTCAACAAATGAATAGTGAGGGGACGTGAACATTCAGGTCATAGCAAGTAGCCATCAGCTAATTCCTCTTTCTGAAAACTTTCCAAGATTCACCTCTAGTTAAGCCCCTAAAAGGTACTGTTGTCCTGCTTCTCCTTGCTTCCCTTTGCTAGGCTTAGGGGCATGCTTTTATCTACAGCTGCAGCCTGGCTGCATGTTCAGCTATTTTGATCCTTCTCACATCCTTTCTGATGCACGAGGGCCACTCCTCTTCCAATGGTTCCCATTTATAAAGTTCTACCATGAGTCTAATGCTGAAGACACAACACTACAGCAGGAAAAAACAACAGCAATGAACCCCTACATCCCTCCCTCCCAAAAAGCCCTATGCCAAGCCAGGCACTGGTGGCTTATGCCTATAGTCCTAGGTACTCAGTGGAGATGTGAGGATCATGGTACAAAGCCAGCCTGGACAGAAAAGTCCATGAGAATCTTATCTCCCAATTAACCACCAAAGAGCTGGAGGTGGAGGTGTAGTTCAAATGGTACAGCAGTACTAATCTTGAGCAAAAATGCTAAGGGATAGCACCCAGGCCCTGAAATCAAGCCCCAATGCCAGCCCACACCCCAAAAAAAAATCTTACTTGGAAATATATTTGTCTTGTCCACATGGGACTAGCGAAGTTTGAGGGCTGTAGTCCATCCTCTTTTTCTCTTTTCCTCAGCAGGAAAGGCCTATAATTGAAAGAAGAAGACTGATCAGGCAGGTTGTGTCTCTGGAAACTTGGAAGGATTTGGACAGCAGGTGGCAAGGGGAGAAAGAAGACAAAAACTCAGTTACATGGCTCCTATTCCTCAAGACCCGCAGCTTGGGCTGCCCAATGTTGGGCCAGGGCTAGTGAGATGCCACATTCCTGGCTGCTGCCTCTGCTAACTGCAGGCTTTTAGGAGAAAAAAAAAATGCTGCTAAGAAAAATGCCAATCCTTGGCTATTCCAAGAACAAATGCCTCAGTCCCAGAGAATGCCGACACCCAAGTTGGTCCCAAGAGCAATCTGTGAGCCTCCTTCCTAAGGAACCTTCACAGGACAAAACAGAAACTCTGCTGACAAGAACAGCAAGACTTTTCTAGGGATGGGAAACCACCTAGAACACCCACATTGAGCTGTGTGATGCTGATCTACAATCAGCATCAAAATGGAACACCATAGCCCAGCACCAGTGGCTCATGCCTGTAATCTTAGCTATTCAGGAGGTTGAGATCTGAGGATCATGGTTCAAAGCCAGCCTCGGCAGGAAAGCTTATGATACTCTTATCTACAATTAATCACCAGAAAGCCAGAAATGGAACTGTGGCTCAAGTGGTAGAGTGCTACCCTTGAGCACAAAAGCTCAGGGACATTGCCCAAGTCCTGAGTTCAAGCCCCAGGACCAACACAAGAAAAAAAAAGAGGCGGGGGACACTGTGAAAGGCAATTTCATTATTTAGGGAAATAACTGCATTCTGAAAAAATGCAGATAAGCTGTGAATCTTATTTAAATATATGTAAAAGTAAAAGATGCACATACACATATTCATGTATATGAACATACATATTCAGATACATAAATGTGTCTAGGGTTCTTTATCTTGGCACTGTTGACATCTGGGGTGTATTTCTCTTGATAGTAAGACCTGTCCTGGGCATTGGAAGATGTTTAACAGCTTCTCTGGCCTCTACCCATTAGATGCCAGTACTATCACCCTGGTCAGAACAACCAAAAACAACTTCAGATAGTACTAAATATCCCTTCCAGTTGGGAACCACTGGCACTTATTTAGATGAAGACCAATGAATAAAAACTGGTTTTATCTGCGTAATAATACCAGTGGATTTTTTTTCATTTTGTTAAGAGAATTTTGAAACATAAAAATAAAGAATCATGCTAGTCCCCAGTGGCTCACATCTATAATCCCAGCTATTCAGTAGGTTGAGATCTAAGGATCCAGGTTCAAAGCCAGCCAGGGAAAAGAGTACATGAGATTTCTTATCTCCAAGTAATCAGGAAAAAGCCAGAATTAGAGGTTGGATCAAGTGGTTAAAAGCTAAGTAACAGTGTGTCCAGGCCTTGGAACCAAAAAGGGATAGATAATAGACAGAGAGATAGACAAAAAAGAGGCGATGGAAAATGAAACGTAACAAGACAATGAATAGCCTTGAAATCATGACTAGTCTATCCTTAATATTTTAATATCGTATTCTATCACATGTCTATTTATCTATCCATCCATTCTTTTTGGCAGCTGCCAGTCCATGTTGTTTGAAATGCATTTCAAACTAAATAGCACACGTAAGGTACGTTCCCTGAACACTTCCACATGGATATCATTGCGATAAGCGCAACATGTGTCTCTGGAAACAGAAGGAACCTGCCCTCTCTGACACCTTGATTTTAGCCCCATGAGAACCTCATTAGACCTCTAACTTGCAGAACTGTAAGACAATAAACCCATGTCGTTTTAAGCCCCTGAGTTTTGGTGATTTGTTATGACAACCACAGGAAACAATACAGAGGCCTCCGAAGGAAGGAGTAGCCAGGGGAGGGGGCAGAGAGCCGAGTTCCACTCAGAAAATTCATAGCCCATTTGTATACCCAAAAGTGGGACTCTAAGAACACAGAGGGCTTCTCTGAAGTTTCAATAAATAATGTATTATTATGCAGCACACAGGAAGAACTCCTAATCTGGACTTGAATGGGGGCTGGGGGAATCCTAGAGTCTTCCAACTAAGAGTCAAGAGATGAGGAGACACTGCTAAAGTGAGGGGTAATGTGTCCAAGCACAAGAAACACACACTCCAACTTGTGCAGGATGGGGAGCTGTGTGCAAGCCTATGAAGTCAAGATCTAATGAGGTCACCAGGGAGAGAACAGAGAGGACTACGTCAGGGCTCTGAAGAGCCCAGTTGGTCGAAGAAGAGGAGACTCTGTAGGAGGAGGGAAAAGAAGAGGTACAGCATTGTTCTATTATCTCTGGAAGCTCAGAATACTTGGAGGAAACTCCAGTCAATGGAGCCAGGAGCTGGTGGTGGGAGCTGGAGGAAGGGAAGCCTGGAGCCTGATTTAAACCACATGAAGTTCATGGGAGCTCCGCCAGACAATTCCACAGCCTGGTTTCAGTTGGGATGAGATGAATACTGATGAATATGTCTGTCCAATGATACTCTCCTCATCCTGAACACAAGAATCTGTCTTCAGCTAGTAAGAGGGTTATTCTAATCCTTTTGTTGTTGTTGTTATGGCTCCTCTTTCTTGTTCTTGCTTCTTCTTTTGTAAACTCTTTATTTTTATTTTATTTTTTTGTGGGTCATGGAGCTTGAACTCTGGACCTGGGCGTTGCCCCGCAGCTCTTCAGCTCAAGGCTAGTGCTCTACTACTTTAGTCACTGCGCTACTGCCTGTTTTCTGAGTTTCATGACTTGCCTGCCCAGGCTGGCTTTGAACTGCAATCCTCAGATCTCAGCCTCCTGAGTAGCTAGGATTACAGGTATGAGCCACCAGTGCCTGGCTTCTTTTGTAAACTCTTACTTCCTTTGTCTAGGCTTGTCCATCCATCCACCCACCCACACATCCATCCATTCACCCATACATTCCTCCATTTATCTACCCACCCTTCCAAACATCCATCCATCCATCCACCCACACATCTATCCATCTATCCTAAGCTATCTTTCCAAGTCTCATACCATTTTCACTTATATTCTCCATCCCTTCTTTTCCCAGAATGCTCCATCTAATCTTCTAATTCACTGGCTGAATTTCTTACAGGACTCTCTCTTTGTTCATTGCCTCCATCATAACCTATAATTTGGTAATTTTGCTTTACATCTGAAAGCAATCTGCTCTGCTCTGAAGATAATACCCTTTTGATATCATATCCTCTTAAATGTACTGAGACTACCAATTAGAGAAGGTAAGCCATCTCTATAGTTATTAAATCTAGTTGGTACTAGAGGAAAGAATAGACAAATCAATGAAACAATATAGCCTACAGAAATAGACCCAAATATATCTGGGAACATAGAATGTGAGCCATATTTCTAAATAGCAGGGGAAAGATTAACCAAATAAATGTCATTAGAAAATGGACAGGCCTTTGGAAAGGGGAAGATAGGGAAGCAAAATCTCTCTACTCCTTCCAGCAAAATAAATAATGCAAGTATCAATATTATAAATGTTGAGCTGGGTGCTGGTGGCTCATGTCCGTAATCCTAGCTACTCAGGAGGCTGAGATCTGAGAATTGCAGTTCAAAGTCAGCCTGGGCAGGAAAATCTGTGAGACATTTATCTCCAATTAACCACCAGACACCAGAAGTGAAGCTAGCCTTAAGCAAAAAAGCTTAAGGACAGTGCCCAGGCCCTGAGTTCAAGCCCCAGAATCTGAACAATAAATTAAATGAATAAATGAATGAGGAAGAACACCCTTTTGATGAACAAAGGATATGTTCACAGAAAAATATTACTTCTAATTATTAATAAATCTGTGAAAATATGCTCTATTTCCATGATTGTATTGAATGTGCATATGTATATGTTTGTGTGTGTGTGTGTGTGCCCATCCTGGGACTTGAACTCAGGGCCTGGGCACTGTCCCTGAGATTTGGTGCTCAAGGTTATAGCTCTACCACTTGAGCCATGGTTCCATTTCCAATTTTTTGATGGTTAATTGGAGATATGAGTCTCATGGACTTTCCTGCCTGGGCTGGCTTCAAAGCATGACCCTCAGATCTCAACCTCCTGAGTGGCTAGGAGTACAGCTGTGAGCCATTGATGCCCAGCCCATGATCATTTTTTATTTACTATATTGGTACAAAGCAAGTAGTCCTACTGGGAGTTCAAGTGGTAAGGCACCAGCCTAGCAAACTTAAAGCTCTGAGTTCAAATCCGAGTACTGGCAAAGTGGTCTGATGGTCCCAAATGTGGGACCCTACAACCCTCTAGCTATTGTGTGATCTTACTAAGGTCATAGCAATAAATCCAGCCTCCAAGTTTATGTTGCCCTATCATGTTGTCTTGGCTTGACTTTTCCCCATATACCTCTTTTCTTATTATATTTGCTTAGGAGAGGAATATTAGGAAATTATTTAAATGTATCTGCCATGTTGTTGGATTGAAATGAGAAGTAAATGAATCTAGGACTCAACCCCTCTGTCTCAAGGACACCTGTATCTCTTCATGAACTTTCCAACCACCACTACCACCACCACCACAAATCTCTGTCTACTCTCAGCCAGCTGAAGAGAAAAAAAAAAAAAACAGCTAAATTTACATACAGTATAAGGCAAACAGCAGCAGTGGTAACAAAGGGCCGGAAATTTAGAGTTATATCCTAAACAGAGTATTGTTCCTCACACAAGGAAGGGTCAGAGGAAGATGGCTTATGGGGTAGGAATGTGGATTCAATTGGAGATTTCCTCTAAGGGTGGCTGCCAACATCTGTGGCCTTGGAGAGAGGGCTTCACTCAGCCAGCTGCTAATAGCCCTTCTGCGCTCCCTGTGATTATCTAGAACCGATGAAGCCCTTCTGTGCTCCAAACTGCTTGTAAGAATTATTTACAAGCATCGTGTCCCACAGTGTGATGGGAAAGAATGGGAGGAGAGGGAACACATCAACCAGCACTCAGGCATAGGATTGAAATACCTCGTCTATCTTAGGTTCATAAAGGAGAGAACAAGCTGGGCACTGGTGGCTCACACC